CCCACGTCCAGTCGGCGGCCCTGCGCCCCGCCCACGCGCCCACGCCCTCCACGCTCCACCCCGCGGCCTCCACGCCCTGTCCGCGGCCCCGAGCCCCGCCCACGTGCCCCACGCCCGCCCTGACCCGGCCACGCATCCCCCGCGCGCCCCCCACACTCCCTCCAATAACCTCCTCATCCTGTCTCTGGTCCTGCGCTTCCCCCCCCACCCCGCCCACCCCCGCTTCCCAACCTGGGGCTACCCCTGTTCTTGCCGGATGGCCAGGACGTCCTGTCCTCGAGAGAGAAGGACTGGCAGTTTTAGGGCTAACATTACCTTCCTTCCTTTCAGCCAGCTTGTGTGTGGGGTGGGGTGGAGGGGGGAGGCGAACCAAAGCATTCTTTCCACTGGTAAAAACAACTGTAGAGTGTGAGCCTCATTAGTCAGGCAGTGGTACCCGAAGTGTTCACAGGGCAGTGGTGGTTACTTTGGGAAGGGGGTGTTTCTAATTTTTCCTACAAGGAGCACACTTTTTTAAAATTAAGCTTATTAGGTGTGATTTTTTTATTTTTTATTTTTTTTAATTGTATTTACTTATTTATTTTTTCCCCCAAAGCCCCAGTAGATAGTTGTATGTCATAGATGCACATCCTTCTAGTTGCTGTATGTGGGATGCCGCCTCAGCATGGCCGGACAAGCAGTGCGTTGGTGCGCGCCCAGGATCCGAACCTAGGCCGCCAGCAGCGCAGCGCGCGCACTTAACTGCTAAGCCAGGGGGCCGGCCTAGGTGTGATTTTTTTTTTTAAATCAAACATTAATTCCCAATTTATTGTTTTGTTCTTTTTTGAAAAGTTCATACTTCTTTAATTGAAATCTAATTTACATACCACAAAATTGGCTCTTTTAAGCGTACAATTCAATGAATTTTAGCATACTCACAAGTTTGTGCAACCATCATCATTGTCTAATTCCACATTTGCATCACCCCAAAAAGAAACCAGGTTAGCAGTCCCTCCCCATTTCTCCCTCTCCCACCCCTTGCTTTTGGCAATCACTAATCCACCTTCTGTGTCTACCGATTTGCCTATTCTGGACAGTTCACATAGATGGAATGGACAGTAGGTGGTCTTTTGTGACTGGCTTCTTTCAATGAGCATGTTTTCGAGGTTCATCCACATTGTAGCTTGTATCAGAATTGCATTTCTTTTTATGGCCAAATAATATTCCATGTAGGGATATACCACATTTGTTTTTCCATTCATCAGTTGATGGACATTTGGATTGTTCCTGCTTTTTGGCTATTATGAATAATGCTGCTATGAACATTCATTTACAAGTTTTTGTGTGGACATATGTTTTGAATTCTCTTGGGTGTATACCTAGGAGTGGGATTGCTAGGTCACATGGTTACACTATGTTTAACTTTTTGTGAAACTGCCAGACTATTTTCCAAAGTGGCTGCACCATTTTGTATCGCTACAGCAATATAGGAGGGTTTCACTTTCTCCACATTCTCCTAACACTTGGTTATGTCTTTTTGATTCTAGCCATCCTAGTGGATGTGAAGTGGTGTCTTGTTGTGGTTTTGATTTGCATTTCTCTAATAATGATATGTAACATCTTGTCATGTGCTTATTGGCCATTTACATATCTGCTTTGGAGAAACATCTATTCAATTCTCTTACCTATTTTTTAACTGAGTCGTTTGTCTTTTAGTTATTGAGTTGTAAGAGTTTTTTTAACATATTTTGGATACTAGAATCTTATCAGATATATGACTTACAAAAATTTTCTCCATTCTATGGGTTGTCTGTTCACTTTCTTGATAGTGTACTTTAAAGCACAAAAGTTTTTATTTTCACAATGTCCAAATTACCTGTTTTTTTTTACTTTGGCTACTGTGCTTTTGGTGTCATATCTAAACCATTGCCTAAGCCAAGTTCATGAAGATTTACTCCTATGTTTTCTTTCTTGCCAGTACCACACTGTTTTGGTTACTGTAGCTTTGTAGTAAGTCTTGAAATGAGGAAGTGTAAGTCCGCCAACATTATTTTTCTTTTTCAATATCGTTTTGGCTGTTTGGGGCCCCTTGCATTTCTGTATCAGTTTGGGGATCAGCTTTTCCACTTCTGAAAAAAAAGGCCAGGACTGGTGCCATGGCCCATTAAGTTTGGTGTGCTCCACTTCAGTGGCCCGTGTTCGGTTCCCGGGTGCAGACCTACGCCACTCGTCTGTCAGTGGCTGTGCTGTGACAGCGGCTCACACACAAAACAGAGGAAGACTGGCACAGATGTTAGCTCAGGGGGAATCTTCCTCAGCAGAAAAAAAAAAAAAGCCAGCTGGGATTTTAATAGGGATTGCATTGGCTGTAGATAAATTGGGGGAATAATGCTATCTTAATAATACTAAATCTTCTTATCCACGTACATGGGATGTCTTTCCATTTATTTAGGTCATCCTTAATTTCTTTCAATGATGTTTTGTAGTTTTCAGTCTACATTAGATTTGATTTTGCATTTGGTTCATAAAAGGCAAAAGTTATCATAGGCGTAGATTATCTTTTTGTGTCCAACTTTTAAAATCATTGTATTATGAAATATGCATTCTGCAAAGTGCCTAAAATACAAATGTACAATTTAATAAATAATTATAAAATAAATACTCAACCAGAGCAAGAAATATAATAATTCCAGCACGCCAGGAGCCTCTCCCCAAACTTCTTTATTCCTCCTCAGTCATTTTCTTTCTTTTTTTTTTTTTAACCATTCATGTATGCATCCCTAAACAAAATACTACAGTTTGCCTGTCATTGAACTTTATATAAATGGAATCATACTCTATGTTCCCTTTTGTGTCTTCTATTTTTTGCTCAACATTATATTTGTGAGATTGATCCATGTTTTTGCATGAAGCTGCAGTCCATTCATTTTCAATGCTGTATAGTATTCCATTATAGAAATAATGTATCCATTCTCCCATTTTTGGACATTTGGGTTGTTTCCAGGTTTTGACTACTACAAGCAATGCTGGAATGAGCATATATTCTATTTTAATCAGAAAAAAAGTTACTAAAAACCATTCTCTTGAACTTGAGCAAGCACATTCACAGACTTTGCTCTGCAGAGAGCTGAAGAGCAGCTGTTTTCCTTCTGAGTCACTGCAGAAGCCCCTGACCTCCTCCTGAGAGGACCCCAGACCATAAACAGACCGTGGCTGAGAGTGCTGTCAGTGAAGCCTCTCAGCTTTTTACTGGCATGAATAGTTTCAAGCCTGGATTGTGCAACCGGCCCTGGGCTTTGGCACATGGCCGGGCAAGAATGGACTGGAATGGACTCCCTCCCCGGATCATAGTCATCTAATCCTTAGAGTATTTTGCAGGGGAAAGAAGGGCAGGAGAGGGCTTCTGGGAAGTGGCCCTGTCGACAGATCAAGGCTGACTATGTCCTTCCTGCTTTGTTGAGATGAAAGTGCTTTGCCCGCTTCCCCAGGTGAGCGGTTGGCTATTTTACAGGCAGGTTTGATCAGGAGATTTCTTGGTTTTCTTTGCGCTAGAAAATAACATTCAAAGAACTTTCATACTTCCCACTACTAGGGAAAAAATGGGAAATACATGCAATGATAGAGCTTCAAATCACTTAGGTCTGAGTTTGAAGGTAATTTCCTGCTGCCCGAGCTCACTGATGTTGCCCGGATGGGTCCAGGTATTAAGCAGCAGGTGAAATCATGGCTCCCAAGTTGCCCGGTGATCTTAAGCCACCCCGTGTGGCCTCCACCAAAGGGAGCCAGCGACTCCTGACCCCCAGCCTCTCAACAGAGTTCCTGGGCTCTGCTTCTCTCATCCCAGGGGCTGCTGGTCCTCTGAGGAGGCCTGACCAAGAACAGCAGACCCAGAGAAACACCAGGCCCCCAGCTGCTTCTGACGGTGCCCATGCCATATGGAATGCGATGGCCTATTGGCCACATTTTTTATTTCCGGCCTTCCAGTCACCCCCTCCCTCCTCATCCTTGGGGGAATTGGTAAGAAACTCAGAGGGATTCTTCTTTTGACTCTGAGTCATCTCTCTAGCATCTGTGTCAAGCCAGCTGGCAGTTGTCTGTTGCTCCATGTCCAGTGTCCAGAGGGGCCATGTCCAAGGTCCTGACACATCGTGACAACCTCCCTTGCACCCCTATTGTCTGGCTGCAGAACTAGGGGCCCAGACCCAGAGAGGCCCCATAACCATGGCCAGTGTCCCCAGGAGGAGATTGGCTTCAGTTTGCTCTTTCCTTCCTCCCCCTGCCCCAGAAACAAGATTTCCTCCTCTGACAACTGCAGACGGGTGACAGTGTGAGTCTAAATTGGAGGAGCCCTAGATGATTTTCTGAGCTCAACTCCAGTCTAAGTAAAAAGCCACATATCTGATTTTTAAAACTGGAAGAGAAGAGAAACTTTCTTCCTGTTGTTGGTAGAAATGTGGGCTTTCTCATTCCCCTGTTTGAAGGTGAGTAGGGCTCATCTTCCTACCCAGGTACCATGACAAGCAGTGGCCGTGGAAGAGGAACCCCGCCCCCGTGGGCCCCTCTCTGTGCTCGCCACCCCCAGCATCGCCAAAGGAGGTTGTGCAACCCCTGGTGTCTCATGTGACTGTTAGGCCACACAGAGGAAAGACTAGGACAAGCCTGAACAGCCACGTTTCTGCAGTCAGAGGCCTCCTCTTCAAGGGGCACCATCTGGTGCATGTATTTTCCTTCAGGAGAAGCCCTCAGGTCTCAGTGGGATGTGT